CCCCCCCGTTCTTTGTTTTCTACTGAGGGAAAATCATCAAAGCTACAGCTCCAAGGAATTTACTTCCAAACCCCACTAAATGAAACCAAAGAGTGGAGTGCTCAGGTATCTCTATGTTGTTCTAACAAACAAAACATTGGAAAGGATATACACAATCACATGTCAAATTTTGTCACAGTTTCCAGATACATCTCTAACCAGTATTCCTCCCCTGGAATATCCCTTAAGATGATTAGGGGCAGTTAAGCAGAAGAGAAAGAAAGAATTTAGAGAACAAAACAAAATTCACTACCTAGCCACCACTTAGTCTGAATTGTGGTAGCAATGGAGAAGCTGGCAACCAGATTCAGACTTTAATTACTGAGTGCCAGGCTGACAGTATGCGAGTAAGTTGTCAATTTCCTCTGTAATTAAAAATGGCAATCTCAGCATCAATACCAGTTCTTCCCTTTATAATTAATAATAAAAAAGATAGCTTAAAGGTTTAATCAGCTTCACTACTTAAATCCTACCGTATTTGACTAGGGGAAGTTTCCGGCTACGAGGAATTAATCATCAGTATTTGGCTGTCCTATTACCACCCGTCTGGGTATTTAAGGTAAAAGGGGGTCACGGATAAAAGTTCTTTTATCGTCTCGTTAGTCTCATGTTTTAAAAAGAAAAGCGGATTGGGAAATCAACACCAGCCATTTTCTGCTCTTCGGTCAGATTTCCATTAATATATAAACCTTCCTGCTCTTGCCAAATCATGCTGTTATACTTGAGGAAGGGCAGGTAGATTAATAAATTCTAGTGATGAAAGGCAACTCGGTCTTTTGATATCTCCTATGGTCAACTGCATTAAGACTCAAGTACTGTGATGGCATCGCTACGGCTGATTGAGGATTTCTTTCTCAAGTGCCTCAAAGTGTGGCTCGCACAAGCAGGCCAATTTTCAAAAAAGCCACATCTATACCATCTTTGTCTATATTTAGAATTTCTGAGAAGAGGGGAAAAAACCCTTCTAATTTGACTTACTGGACATTCTTCTTTTTCGGTCAGATTCTGAATCGCCTGCGTTCCTACAGAATACACATCAAAAAGACAACAAGATGAAGTTCATTTTTGTGCCTCTTGTTTCCCATGGACACTCCGTGTGCTTTTTACACCTGAATAATAACTAGGCTTATGCAATTACCATCCAGACTTCACAGTAACTGTGTTAATATAAAGTAGAACGTGGGACCTGTCCATAATATTGACTAATTAGTATATTTAGCCCATTTCACACAAAAATGCTCTCAGGGAGAGTTTTAATATTTTATTTAAGCGCCTTCTAACAGTTAGTACACGATGCAAAAATATCTCCATGCACATACATGCACTAACTACAAAAGCCAGATGGAATTTTAAAAAGATTTTGGGGAGGAGGCACATAATCCAGTTGAGACGTTCCTGGGCACATGATGTTCTGTATGTGCAACTAAAGCTCAGCGTGGGCGTATATCAAGAGTCTCTCGGCACTGAGAACATACTTTGAGCTCTCCTTAGTATATCTTAATGTCTGGCAGGGGAGGAAGATGGGAAATGCCCAATAGTGTCAGCTGAGTCTCACCTGGGCTGGCTTGTCCCTCAGCGTGCAGCCTGGTGCCTAGGACAGTCAACGCGGTGAATGAAGATCTGACCAGGATGTGAAGGGGGGGGGGGGGGGGGGGGGGTTGTTGCTTAAATTATATTGTTTAAATTGACCGGTCTGGAAATTTCTGTAAGCCATTTTGGGTCCTTCCAGGGAGAAAAGCAGCATAGAAATGAACAATATAATCTGTGGCTGCAATTCCTCAATGCATCAGATCCTGGCCGCTGCTCTGTTACTGCCACCTTCTCCTGTTGGGGGCTTTGGGTAAGCCACGTTCCTCCTCAGAAGCTGCATCAGCAGAGGCTAAAGCAAGGAGTATGTTAGCAAGTAATGAGCGTGATGAAGTTGGGGGCTTTCCCTCCTGCTTGCTTGCCTGCCCCATCCCTGCCCTCCCCCAACCTGCAGCTGCAGCAAAGTGCCGGAGAGGGGGGCGGCACAGTTGCCTCTTGTCTTGCGTGACTGGCTGCATGTCATAAGAACATCAGAGAGGCTATGTTGGGTCAGGCCAATGGCCCATCCAGTCCAAGACTCTGTGTCACACAGTGGCCAGAACCAAGGTCATGACACTTTGTCCACCCACAGGAAGAGGGGAAGCAAGTGGTGGCAGCAGCAGTGTACGTGGTATAGTGTCTGCAGCACTAGGGTTGTCCATAAGGTCCAGGCATGGCTCATTCTAATGTGCATCAGAAGGGAACCTAAGGACTGTGTTTCACATCCTTGTATACAGATAGGTGCATGGAGGGTATAGCCCAAAGTGTGTTTCTCAGCAGAGCTTAAGAGCACATACGTGGCATGGGACAGGACAGAAGTCCATCAGGCACAACCCTGTATATTTTGCTTCAAGATCCCTCAATTCAACATCTTGCAAATTTGCATATATTTGATTATCATTTTGATTTAGAATTTGTAAATGCTTGTTGCCAAGGCCTGGGGAAACAGAAGGAATTATCTATGGCATCCCAACTTCAATACCTTGAAAGATTTAATGCAGACACTAACATTGAGTGTAATCTCCTTCTTAATTTTACCACGGCTTTTTAGCAAAGAATAGGATCACATTATGACTCACTGAACAAACAAAGTTCAGGATTAATTTCACCTTAAATGCAAACATCTAATCATCGTATAAAATAACTAGTGAGGGAGCATTTCAGCCACCTGGTGATTCAATTAGAGAAGATTTTCAAAGGGAAACTTGGGAGTAATTGCTCCCTCCTTACAGATTTATATGCACGATTCAGACTCATCCTACCTTGTGAATTCATCAGAGTGACTCTGATTGGATCTTTAACTCTTCTGCCTGGATTTGTTTTCATCTGCACTCTACACTAATGTAACATAAGGTGCCACAAGACTGGTTGTTATTTATCTTAAATAACAGTTACCTCTCTGGAATTTATCATATAAAACTGAGCCCAGAGAGTTTAGTTCTGAAATTGCTTAGAGGATTATAAAATATCTCGGGCCGGGGAAGAACCCAGGTGACGCTTGTTTTCCTTTCCCTCAATCTGCAAATGCGTATCTGCAGGCATTCTAAAATGAACATGGCTGTAATTTACCTTTGTAATCTCAAGAGGTACATAGCAACCCAACTGGAAAAGAGCTTGTGCTTAGCGATGTCCTGCAGAGCCCAGAATTCCTGCATTGAAAAGAACCGAATGCGTGATGTTACTTGAAAAAAATCAAAACAAGTATTTTATCTCTGTAGGTTATATCATGTGATATACAGAAGTGAAAAACTCATCTACAGCTTTTATGGTTAAAACTACAACAAAGCAGACTCCTCTTTCTACCTTCTTACCAGTGCTGTGAAAAACAGGGAGAAAATGGGCAGGCATAGTCAAAATTTGGTGAGGTTTCCGTAGTCTCTGAAATAGATGCTCAGCAAGAAACAGGATTCTAATCCTGTGTTTGCTCAAATAAGGGAAAAGGAGATTTGCAGGAGACAGAGCAGCAGACAGGAAAGGGGAGATTAACCGTCTCCACAGCTGCTTCTTTTTCTCTACAGTCCTCTCCTTCCCCCAATACCAGCTGATTTTATCAAGCCAAAAGTTCAAAGACAGTTTGCATCCAAGAAATAGATTGCACAGAAAAAGCAGAGGTTGGGGGTATGAATTAAGCACTCTGCTTCTTTTGGAAATGTCTGCTCTTTTTATCTGACCTAAATCCAGCACTGGGACTTCCACATTTTCTGCCACTCATCCAATTCCTGCTTTAACACTTTTCTTTGTAAACTGCCTATAAGAAAAACAATGCTTTCTAAAGCCCTAAACTGAATGCTGAATGGGATACAACTATAAATGAAGCTCAGTATCAAAAACGCTGCTGTGTGGAGTAGTGGGCAGTGTTGGACTATGTCCAGAGAGACCCTGGTTCAAATCCCCACTCAGCTTCTTTGGGCCATCATGAAGCTTCTTTGGGCCATCATTCTGCAGGCCAAGACACTTGGGTGCTCCGCTCAACTCATAGTCACATGTAGGATCGGTATAACTCATGGTTCAAAGCACTGCAAGGGGGGGAGGAGAGGCTTAAGGATTCGGCCTTCGCAACAGACCAATAGAAAATGCTGCTGGGAGAGAAGCCTGAAGCCTCTCCTCCCCACCCCCATGCAGCGTTTGAAGTGATTTCAAAGTGAGTTATACTGATCCTACGTGTGACAACAAATTGGTTTGAGCACCCATGTCCCAGCTCATGTTACATGTAGCATGTATTTTGGGCCTCAGCCTAACCTACCACAGGATTACTGTAAGGATAAGAATCACATTTTTTTGGCTTTTTGCCACCAAGTTGCAGCCGACTTGTGGAGAGACCCCATAGGTTTTCAAGGCAAGAGACATTAAGAGGTGGTTTGCCATTGCCTGGCTCTGTATGGCAAACATGGTATTCCTTGGGGGCAGAGGTCATTTCGGGGGGAACGCGGGGGAACGCAGTTCCCCTGGGTGAGGTGCAGGGGGCGGGGCACATGATGAAGCCCCGCCCCCTGCTTCCGGCCCTCATTCAGCCAGGAGGAGGCAGGAGAAGAGGGAGGGTGAGTTGCTTACTCCCCGCCTCTCCCCACCCCTGCATGCCTGGGGCCAGGGAGGGCCTTGACGGGGCTTCCTTGCACTCCCGCTGGCCTTGCAGGTCCACCGCCGGGCCCCTGATGTCAGGGTGTGTGGCATATGCTAATGAGTTATGCTAATGAGTTCCCCTAGCTCTTTTTCTACGAAATGACCCCTGCTTGGGGGTCTTCCGTCCAAATACTAACTAGGGCTGACCCTGCATAGCTTCTGAGATCTGATGAGATCAGATGAGCCTGGACTATCCAGGTCAGGGGAAGGGAAGTTGTTGTTGTTCAGTCGCACAGTCGAGTCCGACTCTTCGCAACCCCATGGACCAGATCACGCCAGGCCTTCCTGTCTTCCACCGTCCTCTGAAGTTTGCTCAATTTCATGTTCGTTGCATCTATGACACTGTCTAACCATCTCATCCTTTGCCGTCCCCGTCTTCTTTGCCCTTCAATCTTTCCCAGCATCAGGGTCTTCTCCAGTGAGTGCTCCCTTCTCATTTGGTGGCCAAAGTATTTGAGCTTCAGTTTCATTATCTGGCCTTCCAGGGAACAGTCAGGGTTGATTTCTTTTAGGATTGACTGATTTGATCTTCTTGCAGTCCAAGGGACTCTCAAGAGTCTTCTCCAGCACCATAGTTCAAAAGAATCTATTCTTCGGCGCTCGGCCTTCCTTATAGTCCAACTCTCGCAGCCATACATGACTACTGAAAGACTATTGAAAGAGGTAGTCAATCTTTAAAGGTACAATTGTGGTCTTAGGGTACTGTCTCAGTGATGATCTGGTTCTTATAGATCCACATGGGTCAATGCAGGGGTAATTCATGAGGACAACCAGATGGATTTCACCTAGAGAACTGGTGTTGAGTAGTGATGGGCATGAACTGGGAAAATGTGGTATGGTTCATGGTATGCCAGCTTCATGAACCATGAAACATCACAAATAAACCAGTTTCATTTGTGAGGTTTGTGACATGGTAGAACACCCCTCAGCATGATAGAGACACCAAACTCACAAGGGATATCCGGCTAACCCTCCTCTACCTACATGCCAAGGTTGGTGAGGATTGAATTTATGGGGTTCGAGTTATGGCTCCCCCAAAGAAGGTGTCCCCAGGAAAGCATTTTCTGGGGAAATGACAAGCACAGGTTCATGAGGGTCAGGATTGTATAGAATGGATCCTGTGCAAATTAAAGATGCCAAACATGCAAGAGATCTCCAGATGACTCTCCTCTACTTGCCCTCCAAGTTTGATGAGGATTGGATTTATGGGGTCCAAGTTACAGCCCCCCAAAGAAGGTGCTCCTATGGAGGGAAAAACAGCAAAAAAGCAAGGACAACAGAAGCCATGCAGAACAGAATCGAAGTCCCAGAGAATCTCTGCAGTAGAAACTGAAGGTTGGAGGCATTTTTGCAAGCCCAGCAGAACCAGTGCAATGTGCCCAGCAGAACTAGTGCCACTGTGGCACTGTGAACCCAACAGGACTAAGGTCAAGTCAGGGAAGTGTTTTTTGGGGGGACATGTCAGACACAGGTTCAAAAGTATATAGAATGGACCCCCTGCAAGTTACACACACCAAATGCACAGGGAACCTCACCCTGCCACCTGCTCTTTTATGATCTCTAGTCCTTCCCATTCTATTGTTTTCCTCTATTACTTTGCATTGTTCATTCAGGAAGGCCTCCTTATCTCTCCTTGCTGTTCTCTGGAAATCTGCGTTCAGTTGGGTAAATCTTTCCTTTTCGCCTTTGCCTTTCGCTTTCCTTCTTTCCTCTGCTATTTGTAAAGCCTCATCAGAAAGCCATTTTGCTTTCTTGCATTTCTTTTTCTTTGGTATGGTGGTGATTGCTGCCTCCTGTACAATGTCACGAACCTCCGTCCATAGTTCTTCAGGCACTCTATCTATCAAATCTAGACCCTTGAATCTATTCTTCACCTCTACTGTATATTCATCAGGGATGTGATCTAGGTCAAACCTGAATGGCCTAGTGGTTTCCCCAATTTTCTTCAGTTTAAGTCTGAATTCTGCAATGAGTAGCTCATGATCTGAGCCACAGTCAGCTCCAGGTCTTGTTTTTACTGACTGGATAGAGCTTCTCCATCTTTGACTGCAAATTATATAGTCAATCTGATTTCGGTGTTGCCCATCTGGTGATGTCCATGTGTACATCATGGGAAGTACACCACACTAAATTACTTGGAAAAAGAGTGTGACAAAATACAATAAAGAAATTATTGCAGCAAATGAACTAAGAGTCAATAGCTCATTCTGCAGAATTTAAGGAATTGTCTTCAGCCTTCTATAAAGGCTCTTTGTTGTCTTCTTTTCTTAATAATTTCATATGGTAGTGGAACAATGGGCCAAGTAGGAACCAGCTGTGTGCACCTCAGATGGTTCCCTAGGTAATGTCTTCAAAACACTCACACAAAAATATTCTCTTGTGTCACCAGCCCAAATTAATCTTTCAACTGTCTTGCTAGCTCTTTAGACATCTGGAATGCTTCAGCTTTTCCAACAATACAAAGACATCCATTTATCAGTAGTGTATAGCGCACTGGAGTATTTAAATGATTAAAGGGGCAGAAGATTGAAATCTGACATTGATTAGTGCAGTAAAATTAGCTTTAGTATTAGGAAATCAGGTCACTTGAACACATAAGAATGGTGAAAAAGCCAACTTTCTTCCAGTCTGGTATGACGAGGACATGGCAAATATATGCTTTAAGGTTTGCTTTTTCTAAAAATGCTTGTTTGAGCAATTTCAAAGTATCTAAGATGGCTCCAGCCACAAGAAGCACAACCAGATATCCCTTATGTAGTATCAGGTATAATAAACATTAAAGAGAGCCAAAGCACTATTTAAAAAAAATATATATATAAACCCATCAGGACTAGGAAAAGGATGTACAACGTGAATCACCCAATACTTTGAATGGCCTCAGAGACTGCAAGATCTGCGGCTTGGGGGGAAAAAGCCATCTAGAAAAATGTATCCATATATGCAGTTTCCATTGCCCAGGCTAAGGTAATTGTTTGTTTATTACATGTTATCCTGTATTTACTCCAAGTTCAGGCGGCATACATGTCGATATCCTCATAGCAACCCTGCAAACTAGGTTAGGAAGAGAAAGAGAAAGAGTGACTGGCCCACAGTCACTCAATGAGTTTCACAGCTGAGGGAGGAAAGTTAAGAAAAGAAGGAGAGAATTTCTAATTTTCACTTAAAGCAAGTCTGACTGCTTCCGTCAGAATACATTTCCAGGTACTTAAATGAACCGACAATTAACTAGGAAGTGTGAAGAGGCAAAAAGGGGACACACAACAAAATGTACATAACCTTTAAAAATGGACTGTTTACCAGCTGCAAGGGAGGGGAAAAGGGAGTTTTGCCTTTTCAAAAAGTATCTAGTAATGTTAAACAGACCAACATCAATCAGGATCATCACACTTCCTTTCATATCTCAAACTCTAAGGAACAGATAAGGATCAAGGCTGAGAACCGGAAATCCAAATCCGGAGGCTGCTTGCCTGTGCTTTTAAAATTTTTAGATCTCAATGTGAAAACAACAGTCAGCAAGCTAAGGAACTGCATGTCTTTTGAGCCAAGAACCTTAGCCTTTGCTTCTGTATATGGCCCTTGGGAACTTGGTAGAGGGGGGGGGGGAAGTCATGCAAAATAGTTTTTCTCACAATAAGAAACACATGAAAACAAGAGATACTATGGGAGCTTGTGTTTAAGAGAAAAGCACACAAATCTATAGTGGCGTGCACAGTTTTTAAAAAATGCTATTTATTTCTGCCAAGAAATGTTTCCAAAAAAGAAAAATATGAGTCTGTTTATGGTTCTTGCAATATTGGCCCTGGATTTTGGCCACTGATTCTCTACGGAAAGAAATAAAAATGATCTACAAAGGCATATGCACATAACTCACACAAGCACTACACTTATTTTTCCATATGTAAAATTCTCATTTTAAAGGGATGTCTTCTTAAAGTGCAAGATATTACATCAGGCATCTTCCACCCATTTGTATTTGGGTCTGTGTCCAACAGTTACGATTGTCTCTCACTGAATTTAATACTCCATCTTAGATACCATCAGCTACAGGAAGTGTCTTCAATTTCTTCTCAGCCAGAACATGCTAGTAATGCATCTGTACACCAACTAACCTTTACCTTAACATGATGCTTAGGAACCTTCCCAAAGTATATAGACATCATTCTAGGCTTGAGAACATGAACACTGGAAGCTGCCTTACACTGAATTGGAACACTGATTTATAAAGGTCAGTACTGTCTACTCAGACGAGTTCCAGCTCTCTAGATCTCAAGCAGAGGTATTCTGCACTGCCCACCACCTGATCCTTTTTACAATGCCAATGCCAGGGACTGAATGTGGGATTTCCTACATACAAAGCTGATGCTCTGCCACTGAGCCTTACCCTGAATTTGTAGTCTGCAGATATGCAGAAACCCAGATGTTGATACAACATGTGCCCCAGCAAATTCCAGAACGCCAAGACGTTACTCATGTCATTACGTGGCACATAAATGCCACAGTTCTGGCTTCTCCAGAAAGAGGGCTTCTTGCTAATAATAGGAATGTATATTACTTCTGCAAAGCCTATCTAACCCAGAGCAGATGAGTGTACAGATCATAATCGCAGCTTAAGGGTGGACAACTGGAATCAGGAGGCTGAGAGGTAAGTGATGTCCACGCTGCATTAGCTTCCAGTGTGTATTTTACAAGCTACTTATTTACTCTGTTTATTTATTTATAACCCACGTTCTCTCAAAGTGGCTTATATTGTTCTCCCTTATTTCATTTACCCTCCCAACAACAACCCTGTGAGATAGGTTAGGATGAGAGAGAGTGACTAGCCCAAGGTCACCCAGCAAGCTTCCATGGCAGAGTGGGAATTCAAAGCCTGAGTCACTACACCACACTGGTTCTAATCCAGTGTAGGGGTTTAAAAGACCTCTAAATAGGTATTAAAATATAGAAACTCGGGGGGAGGGGTAATTAAGAATGACACCATGCTTAGAAAAAGCAAGAAAAATAAATCTACACTTCATTAAGCAGTGTATTTACACTTCATTAAGTATTTCAGCAAAAATACTAGCAGGAAGAACATATAGGACATTTTTGCCATTATCACTCTCCACATCCATGTAATTTTCCCATTCAAAGCAACCAGGCAACACCATCAGAGTATACAATTCACAAAAAAATTACTGGGGCAAGGGCATGAAACACCACAGGCATTTTACTTCATTAAGGTTGAGGAGTAAATGGGGTTCTAAGCAATTTTTCAAAAGTTGCATCAATTTTTTCTACTTTTCTGCATTAATTTGACCCCACTTTTTGGTTTAGTTAAGACCATTCATGTTTTCCTAAAATACAATGCACCAATTACCTCGGAAATGCTGAAGTCCTTCAAGTGGTCTAACGAGATCTCACTAAGCTGCCGAAATGTCATGGTAAAATCAGCTTTCACATCTTCCATGAGCTAATAGATAGAACCAGATTTCAATCAGTGTCAGACTTTAGCAGTGTCAGAACAGAAGTTCAACTATCTGGCGAAAGAAAGAAACTCACTTTTAAAAGGAATGCAATCAGATAGCCATCTTCATCACCACTGCCCAGGAGACCCAATTTTGCTTTGAATAATTCTGTAAAACTGAGAATAATAAATGTACTGAACATCACAGAAATGGAAACCTCTTTCAAATATTTCACACCTGCAACCTTTTGTAAAAAAATATATTGCAACCTCTGACGTACCGTTTATAATATTGGTCAGGGTATCCCTCAAGAGTCTGAGAAGCACTGTGAAAAGAAGATGTGAAATGCTGACGTATAACAGGAAGACATGTGTAAAAATTAATAGATTTGTAATTTATTTTAGTGAAGCAAAAACTATCAGAATGAAAAAGCATATCACTTTGCAATCAATTTCTGCTTTCTTCTTCTTGCAATAATTTCCTTTCATGTTTAATGTGCTGATGTCACTATGGACCTTGAGCTTGTTTGGAGTTTCTAGCAGGGGAACGCAGCTATCATATACCCCTGACCGAAGAACGGTACACTCCTTCTACCTGGGATGGGCGTCTTCTTCGACTGAGCGCGCAGTTTCGGGAGGGATGCACATGGAGCGGTGAGGGACACCCGCCTAGCCAGCCAGATCAGCCAAATCAACCCTGGCAATCAATGGGGTGACAGATGTCGCAGCCAGATTGCCCCCACATGTATGATAAATTAGGCATGAGTTTGTGAAACAAGGAACTGTAAGAATAATTTTCCCTCTTTTTTGTTTTGTTTTTGTCTTTAAAATTAAAAAAACCCAATTCATTAAAAAGAGAGAGAGAGACGGCTGTGGCAAGGTCCAAATTGCCACCACACTTCCACCATGTTTGGAAACGTCTGACTCTGCATCATTCAGGCTAGCCTCAAGGATGCCCCTTCCAGGGCCCAGCCTGCTCCCTGAAAGAGGCAATGAGCTGCAAATCATCATCCTGCAATGGCCACTCAGTAAAAGAAACATATTTGGGGCAGCACTGGATTTTTTTCCTTAGAAGAAGAAAAAATATCCCACTGCAAATGGAAATGGGTCTTTCAAGAAATACAGGAACACCAACAGACCTGTTTTCCATTTGGCTGTCAAAACTACCGTTGGAAAACCTTCAGAAGGAAAACTTCTTTCTGGATGTGCCTGGCTTTCTGATATCATGTCTTTCCAGTCTGTCTAAATGCTGCGGTACACAGTCCAATTAGGAGGGACGGGACCTTATGCCAATGCACATATAGAGCTCTCTTCCCATATCTGGTTGTTTTAAACAGGAGTTTCTGGCACTGCATTTAGAGAGGCACAATTTCTCAAAAAATACCTCTTGATTCTCTTCCAGAGAGCCTCCCTTTGTTTCGGCACATATGGCCATTAATGCATCTCATCTCACCAGCCCTTTTAAGTGTGAAGACATTTTTTGGGATTACTTACAGCTGCTTTTGTCGGGGATCCAGCAAAGGGTTTAAAGCCTGCAACAGCTTGTTCAGATTAAACATCCCGACATTGGCTTGATTTCCCATTTTATACCGCCTTTCATCATCAGATAAGTTAGGGACAAAGTCTGAAGAAAAACGATATTTTAGTACAACAGGGTATTCATAACAAAATAAACAACCATAACATATTTAAGTGTGCTCATTTTTTTACTGATTGCAAACTAACAAAAGCCCTTCAGGCACTAAAAACATTTTTATTCTGTCTCTAAACATAGCAATACTTGTTTACACTAGATTAGCCCAAGGTCTAATATTTGCCAAAGAAAGGAACTCATTGTTAGCTACACGTTTACAGTTGGCGGTCTGTTATTTTCTTATTTTACATGCAAAATAAACTCAGATGTTTAAACCACTAAAAGCAGTGTTCTTGAACAGAAAATGGATTACAGTTACACATAACTAGGCCTTCTCCCTACACCAAGGGATCTTCAAATGTCTTTTAAAAATTATACAACTGTTACATTAATGGATTTTGCAATCAACCTGAAATAGTAAGACTGTAACTAATAACTAAAACAATCTGCCCTGCCTAAATTACTTATTGCAATGTACTGTACATGGGGCTGCCCTTGACGAGTGCCTGGAAGCTACAACTGGTGCAGAATGCTGGAGCCAGCATGTTGGGTGGAGTGAGTCACAGGGACCATTTCACTCTAGTTTGGGTCCATCTTCACTGGCTCCCAAATTGTTTTCAGGGTCAATACAAGCAGTGTTCCCTTTAAGCTGAGTTAGCGTGAGCTAGCTCACAGTTTTTTAGCCTCCAGCTCACACATTTTGTCTTAGCCCAGGAAGGATGGCTCCAGAGCAAACTAATTGATGCAATAGCCAAATCGCTCGCTCACAACTTTAATGTCAGTAGCTCACAAAGTAGAATGTTTGCTCACAAGACTCCACAGTTTAGAGGGAGCACTGAATACAAAGTGCTAGTATTGGCAAGTAAAGCCCTGTTTGGTTTAGGACCAGCACACCTTAAGGACTACCTACTGCCATATGAACCTCCCTGACCATAATAGTCATCTTTGGGGGCCTTGCTTCAGGTGCACCTATCACCTGAGGCTAGACTGGTGGCAACCCAAGAAAATCCCTTCTTAGACATGGTATGACTGAGTATGGAATTCCCCCTCTATTGTTATCTTCCTCCAATGGGTGAAGATTTTTTTGGGTTTCCTTTGGTCTTTCCCCCTTCCTGTTTATATTTCGAATTTTGTTTAATGTGTGTGTGTGTTTTAAAGTTAGTTTTAATGGTTTTTATTATTCATTGCCTTGAGGGCCCTAACTAGGTGGGAAAGGTGAGCCAGAAGTGTTTTAAGTAAATAAATAAAATACAAATACTATGGTACATAGACTAGATGTTCACATAGGTATAAACATACAAATACATACATTCAGGATTATATATACAAACATATAAAATGGCAATGCACACACACCCCTCCACTTCCGCAGATTTCCCACGTAAACACATATTACAGTTTGCATCCTGAGGACTCTTGCTTTCAACGCATCTTATTTCTCAGTTCAAGTTCTGAAGCTTGCAGAGAAAGATTAAAAAGTGCTTTGCCAGCAATTGCCAAAGGCTCAGCAACCAGACTCCCAATATTACCATGCCATCCTATCCACAGCTGGTATTTTTAGGTTTTCATTAAAAGCACATGTCTTCTACACTCTGCTACAACAGAACATGGCAACTGGCAGACAGGTTGAACCCAGCCTTCCAAGGGGTATCTTGTAGCCCAAGAGCCATCTCTGGTGTGCTATTAGAAAGATGCCCACTTTTTGTTGTTCAGTCGCACAGTCGAGTCTGACTCTTTGCGACCCCATGGACCAGATCACGCCAAGCCTTCCTGTCTTCCGCCGTCCTCTGAAGTTGACTCAATTTCATGTTCGTTGCATCTATGACACTGTCTAACCATCTCATCCTTTGCTGTCCCCGTCTTCTTTGCCCTTCAATTTTTCCCAGCATCAGGGTCTTCTCCAGTGAGTGCTCCCTTCTCATTTGGTGGCCAAAGTATTTGAGCTTCAGTTTCATTATCTGGCCTTCCAGGGAACAGTCAGGGTTGATTTCTTTTAGGATTGACTGATTTGATCTTCTTGCAGTCCAAGGGACTCTCAAGAGTCTTCTCCAGCACCATAGTTCAAAAGAATCTATTCTTCGGCACTTGGCCTTCCTTATAGTCCAACGCTCGCAGCCATACATGACTACTGGGAATACCATTGCTTTGACCATGCGGACTTTTGTTGGCAGGGTGATGTCTCTACTTTTTATCATGCTGTCTAGGTTCGCCATCGCTTTCCTCCCAAGGAGCAGGCGTCTTTTAATTTCATGGCTGCTGTCACAGTCTGCGGTGATCTGGGATCCCACTTTTTCTTTTTCTTTTAGAAAAAGAGGTGCCGGAACTCTCAAGAAGGAAATGAAGTTTTCAATCTGTACACTGAAAACTCACGAACTTTTAAACATTTTTAAAATAATTTTGTCAAAGAGGTTCCAGAACCCTATTCCGGCACATTCCCCCAGAAAAAAAGCCCTGCCCAGTAGTCTCCCCTGCCAAACAAGGGGTAGCAAGGAAGAATGGGATGGGCGGAGGGGGGGAGGTTTGTGTGGGGGGGAGTGAATTCCAAAGCCCTTTCTGTCAACACAAATGTGGTGTACTTTCACTTCCTGAAGAACAGCCGGTTGGGCCAAGAGGCTCTTTAAATGCTACTTTTGGCCCCACTAGTCTAGCTTTTCTAAACTAAAAGCAAACAGATATTCATGGGATGCAAAAATAGCAGCCCCAAAAGCAAACTGAAAGAGACTCCTGCCAGTCTCAACCTAGCCTACCTCACAGGGCTGTTCTGAGGATAAAATGGAAGAGAGGAGAATGACGTAAGCTGCTTCCGGGCCCCACTGGGGAGAAAGGCAGGGCATAAGTAAAGTAAATCAATAGATGCGTGGCTGCTGCTCTTGCTAACGTCCTTGCATGAAAGGTGGATCTGAAGTCCACTAAGACAGGGCACAAGGAACACTGGAGGAAGCTCTCATTTTGTATACTCCATTCCCATTAATGCAGTATTCACTAAAAAATATACCCACTTCCCCCCATTCTGCCATGTCTTAGTGAAAGAGAACATGCTTAAAAAATGTTATAAGGGTACGGTGAAAGTGCTTATCAAGAATGTCTTGATTAGAAATGTAACAGTCATAACAACCTAAGAAGAGCTCTGCTGGATCAGACCAGAGATCGATCCATCTAGCCCAGCATCCTATCTCACACGGTGGCCTATCAGTTATTGTGTAAAGCCAACAGCCGGAACGAAGCCTTAAGATATAATTAGCTCAAGCCGTCTTGGAGATATGATCATTCCTACGATGGTTTCTGAAGCCCTCTTAAGATATGCCTATTCTCTTAGCGGATGTATTCTTGTTGGTCTCTTGGATAAGACACAGACAGACAGAATAAAAGCTGGCGAATGTAGGAGTGGAACTCTAGATTGATATCCTTTTGTCACATATTCAGATTAGAACTGATCTTAAGGACTTGTTCATAACAACTTACAGGAGGCATATGAGGTCTATCAAAGATTACTTTAGCTGAGTCTCCTGCTTGCTGGGGAGAGATTATTCTCACTGTCCTTTGCAGAAGCCGTTATTGCAAAAAACCAAAAAAAACCTTCCCTCGGTCATGAACTGATCAAAGTAGTATTTACAGGAAGACAATATATAAAAGAACTAACCCTTAAAATTAATCTTGTTGCTAAAGAGGATTCTCCTCCTCAAGCTAATATTTTATTGATTTATTTATTTTCCTTTATAGTCCATCTTTTTCACTGGGAAGGAGGATTACAAGGATGAGAGCACTATTCAGTCAGTCAAGTGAACCAGTTACAAAATATGATAACATTTGAATGAAAACACTATTTGAATCTAACAGCAAAGATTCCTAGTAAGACAAAGCTATTCAGTCAGTTGTCAAGCTGATCACACAATATGTTCAAGAAAATATTTCTTATGATGTTTCTAGTGGAAGATATGGTTAGACAGTGTTATCGATGCAACTAACGTGAAATTAAGCAACTCTGGAGCATGACGGAAGACAGGAGGGCTTGGCGTGATGTGGTCCATGGGGGTAGCGAAGACTCGGACTTGACTGTGCGACTGAACAACAAGTGGAAGATGCTGAAAGAGTTGTGAAACTGCACATACTCAGGGAGAGTAGTTAGAAGTGTTTATAAGGAAAGCCAGAGATTAATGTCTGAAGTGACTAGACGCCTAACAGATTCCTTAAAGTGGGTTTATCAGACTCAGAAAAGTGTTGAAGATTTAAGCAGCCAAGAGCAAATTTGACACATGTATTGTGGGTATGCCTGATTATCATGCTATATTATTTACAAATTAACAAGCAGGGGACCCACAAGGACTTGCAGGGAGCATATAATTTCCCCCTTCCCCACTATTTCCGCTTTCCCTTCCCTTCCCTGAAAGCTCCCATAGCCTTTCTACTTTTCCTGCTTCCTTCTCCTTCCCACTCATCTACCTTTTATCTGCCCCCTACTACATTTATGATGACTCGAAGCAGCTTACACCATTCTCCTCTCCTCCATTTTACCCCAATAAAACCCTGGTAGGTTAGGTTGAGAGTGTATGACTGGACCAAGGTCACCCAGCAAGCTTCCGTGGCAGGGTGGGGATTTGAGGTTGGATCTCCATGATCCTAGCCTGACACTGTAACCACTACACTAGACTGGCTTTTGTGGGGTGGCTGCTGTTGAACAGTAGCAAGCAGCCAGGCCTGGGTGAGTCATGTAAGACACATGGTAGCAAGTTACAGGGTGCGTGCTGCTGGGCTTGACCCAATGAGTTTTTTCTCAAAAGCCAAAACAGCCCTGGAAAGGGCCCTGCCCATCCCCCTGCCTTTTAGTGACAGAAACCAAGCCTCTTAGGCTGCAGCACTGTTGTGGTCACCTAGCACAATTCTCCTAAGCTATACTTACCTGGATCATAGGAGTCCATGAACCCAAATGGACCGTAATCTATGGTTATGGACAAGAGACTGAAATTATCTGTATTACAGACACCTAAAAAGAAATAATACTACCATCAAAACATGGTGATTCTAGGAAATGTTGATTTAGCAGAAATGGAATGCATGAAACCTGGACCCAAAGCCACAGTTTTCCCCCATGACATATTTTTCAGTCTAAAACAGAAATACAAGGCATCGCAGAAATCAAGGCATCGCAATACAGGTTCCTGCATTAAATAAAGCATTTAATTAGGGCAAGAGAAAGAAATCAGTACAGGTATGCCCTTTTCAGTAGCAGCCCCATGTATCTTGTCATATCTATTTCTGCCCTGAATGAACAGTACAGGTTATAAAGTTTATCTGCTATAAAATATATTTTCCTTATCTTAGCAGAAACAGGTACTGGTTCTTGTTGCTCTTGTATTTTCACTAATAATAAATGGCTTATTTTACTTATTAGCTTAGATCTACATAAATCTAGGGTACCCACTACCTTAATGACCTTTACATTAATTACAATCAGCACTGTCATGCTAGCCCTGTAGGCTGCAGTCTACATGCCAATCACACTGAGTTTTAGAAAAGGTTCAAATATTTTACACTTTTCATGTCAAAAAACAAAAACAAGATCAAAAAATCATCTCACCGTGAGCAAAGCCTACTGACATCCACAAGGCAATCAGGTCTGCAGTCTCAGAAACTACTCTAGAGAAAAATGCCTGCAATCAAACACAATTTTACTTTGATACTCTTTTTGCAAAAACCTGCAGGACACAACACTGCCAAACACACATCTTACAACCAGTGTTCCCTCTAAGATGACTTAGTGTGAGCTAGCTCACAGTTTTTTTAGCTTCCAGCTCACAGATTTTTTGTCTTAGTTCAGGAAGGAGGGCTCCAGAGCAAACTAATTTATGTGGTAACCAAATCACTTGCTCACAACTTTAATGCCAGTAGCTCACCAAGTAGAATTTTTGCTTACAAGACTCCACAGCTTAGAGAGAGCATTGCTTACAACAATAATCCTGTAAAGCTGAATTCTGACTTTAAGCAGCAAGCCTCCGTCGCGGATCTGAATTCTGACTTTAAGCAGCAAGCCTCCTTCACTGACTGTGTCTATTTGTTTTTATATGCCATTGCTAAATACATATTAAATAGCAGCACTGATGAACCAGATTACATATACCACATCAAGTTGCCTTTGTAACTAGAAGAGGAAGAAGGGGAGTAGAACAAGCAGGTGGAAGAAGAAGCTGACACTCACAACAATATCTTAATCTTCTTGCTATTTCCTGTACATGAACATGCATGACTGCCTCTCCTGGTGTGAAACCATCTGCCATATGAGATTCAGTTAGAAGAGGCAGTTCTCTTGTATGTTTTCATGACAGGTGTAAGACTTTTATGCATTCTGTTTAGAAGTGTCTCCTTTAGGTTAAAATGATTGATGTTATATTGTATTGCACTGTTAGAATTTTATTATTACAGCTTTATCATCTGTTTTAGTGATTATCCTCGGTGATCATCTTAACATTCATAAACCCTTTTGATTTTAAGAAAAGTGGTATATAAAAGCTTAAACTAAACAAATGTGGGTTGTGTTGGCAAGAGCGTTCATTCATAGTCTTATAACTTACCAGGTATCTATTTGAGTCATTCATGCTTATTGATGGAAAGTGTTCTATAACAAGGTCTAACAGTATCCTGAATTAAAAATTAAAGATTTATTTAATCAAAATCAGTTTCAAAATACAGAATAAATTATTTTTGTTCTAAGATTGTGTCTGACAGCTGGGAAGATCCCCTTTGAGATGCCTTCCTCAGAAAGCTAAATTGAACTGTAGGTAATGGACAGCTTGATCAAGAAGTGATGAGTTCACAGCCAAATTCTAAATCTATAAATCAATTTGGTTGTTCAAACAGTGCATTATACCTTATTGGGATGGACCACATGAGTGATTTCTGAGCCTTTCTGTGAAAAGGAACAAAATAACCACTTGTTTCTTATATATATAATTGCAGGGTTGGAAAACTCCCAGTTGTCTGATTGTCCTGAGGACTAAAAATACATTGGCATCTAATGCGTTGGCATCTAACATTCTGACATGTTTCCAGTTCCTGCACAGGGCTGGCATCTGAAAATGCTAATCTGGCTCTTGAGAATGTAACATGTTTTCAGGCTTCTCTATTTGCCTTATCAGTGTAGGGTCCATTTACAGCTGCACAAAACATCACTGGATCCTGATCAAAAAACCACTCAACCAGTCCCACATGGCACAGGATGCTTTGGACATGTATTTTGTGAACTGTTACATGGCAAAGAGCATTTGAAATAGAGGGGTGCTTCAAAAGCAGTTGGAGATACAACATAGGGATCTGACGTTTTGAGATGTTTCTTCAAACAAACGAACAAAAGCCAAACCTTCTGCATCTTGTCACAAACATGGACGTGGCCAGTGACTTCATGGTTTGCACCAGAACCTGTGGCAGTCCTTTATACCGTAATTTAAGAAGAAGGTTTAAGCTTCAAAGCATGAGGAATTTTATTTATAGTTCTTTTTAGAATTTCATAGCCAGTGTTTGAGATTTGCATCCACCTCATAATTGTTTACGCTCCCAGGGAAAATATGTTGTGCAGTTAATATTATTATAACACACTGAAATCCAGAACCTTCCTATGTCTGTAGAACCAATCATGCAAATACTCCGTATAAACATGACCTCTAGCAGAGATGATATCAAGCATACTTACTGGACTTTTTTTGCAGGAAATATACCTGCCACATAAATTTCTTACAATAATTCTTTAACGTCCCTTCCATTGTAAGAAAAATAGAAAGGTTCGCAGGCTAGCGATGGGCATGAACCGGCTCACGAGCCAAAATTTGGCACAAACTTGAGCCGGTTTGCAACCCCTGAACTAATGTTCAGGGAATGCGCCTTCTCTGAACATTTCCTGGACTTTTGTCTGATTTGGCTCTTTGGGGCCACTTAAATTTAACAGTTGAGCAGCCTGGGGTCCGCAGCTGAGCTGTTAAGTTAAAATGGCTGGCAGTCATTTAAGCCTAACAGCTGACAGACAGACCCACCCGGCTGATAGGTCGAAATGGCTGGTGGCCATTTCACCGGTCGGTTTCGCTTCCCCCGCTTCGAAGTTGGGGGAAGCAAACCCGACCAGTGAAATGGCCACCAGCCATTTAACCATAACAGCGGGGCAGGTCTGTCTGTCAGCTCTTAGGTTTAAAAGGCTGCCAGCCATTAAACCAGGAAGTTTTGCTCCCCCCTGCTTCGAAGTGGGAAGAAGTGAAACAGACCGGCTCAGTTTGGGTGGGGGCCTTTTGCCTCGGTTTGGGGTTCAGTTCAGGAGCTGCTCCGAACCAGGTGTTTTAGGTTTGTGCCCATCCCTAAAGCAAGCTCTACAGCTACTCCAATATTTTTTAAAAGTAATGTCCTTAGTGATGCCCTTAAACTACTACTTTGAAAAACTGAAAAATCTATCCAACACCTGATTGCCCAGATGTCTAAAAACACAAACAGTGTTAGCACATAGGAATTCTGAAATATTTCCACAGGGCTGATACCTAAAGCTTGCATTTATTTTTCAAACCTTATTTACACAGGCCAGGTCTCAAGAAGCCTGGGTACAAGCACAAAGAACTTTCCTGCACAGCTACATGGACGGGGGCTGAAGGGGGTGCAAATTTCCTTCAAATGGTGGCAGCCCCTGGTGCAATTTGAATGTCATTTCTGAGATTCTCCTATGTTTCCAGGGTAGCTCGGAGTGGGGGTGGGAAGAAGTCTGCAGTAGTAATGGGAAGGCTGGAAAGCTTTCTTGGAACTCAGCTGTTATGCTGTATCAAGTAGGAGAAATGATAGAACGAAGACTTAATTCTAACCTTAATAAATCTAGTTCTCCAGAATGGGTTAGAATTTCTAATGATCCTATCCGAAACCATGATTTGGCAACACGGAGAACGATTGCACCTGAAACACAAATATGTACCCTTGTTAATCTGACCTAGAGCCCAGTGTGTGCTTTCATGAGCACAAAGAGCTCCAAACGGAATCCAGCAAAAAGCCTTGCACAGCACAACACATGGGCAGAGACTTTCCCTCCATCAATGGGAACAGGAGCAACCTGTGGAAAGGAAAGCTTCTGTAACAAACTGCTGCAAGCAACTAGACAATGACTGGCATCATTCAATTATGAAAACTAATCTCGAAATAAGCTGGTAATATTTCAGTATTACTTCAGTGACTGAAGATTTATATTTTTGGAACGCGCAGGGCAAGATGGCTTGGGGAAGAAGAACCATAGCTCAGCGGGAGATGGCATACAGAAGTTTCCAGATTCAGTCTCTCACATCTCCAGTTCAAGGATCAGAGGGAGCAGAAGCTGGGAAATACCTTTTTTTGCTCGACACCACGGACAACAGCCACTAGTCACAGACAATCCTGAGCTAGGCTGACCAATGGCTTGACTCTGTATTAGACGGCTTCAGAAAGAGCTGAAGCTCAGTGGTACAGCACTTGCTTTGCATGCGGCAGGCAGGCCATATGTGCTTTTCCCAGCATCGCCACTTCAAGGATCTCTTGGATCATGTACTAGGAAAGACCTTTCTTTGCAAGAGACCCTACAGAGCTGCTGCCAGTCAGAGCAGACAGTACTGGATTAGACTGAACAATGATCTGGCTATACGGCAGCTTCATATGCTTGTATATACGTTTGTACATTTAGTTATTTAGCCCCCTCCCCTTTGCACGCCTACATTCAAAGGTTTCCCAGGGTGATACATTTAAGAGAACAATAGAAAATATCTAAGCCAGGAAACAAAATAGTCAAAATATGTGAAATGCAAATAAGCGAGTCACAAACCACCAAAAAACGTGAATGGAAAAGAATGAGTTTGTTATACCGAAAAGATTGTACCACAATTGCACTCAGTCCTAGGCGCCAAGCTCTGATTAGTCTCACACTATAGAGAAAGGGCTAACCTGCCCAGAAGCAGAGAAACTGTACCAAATTCAGTCCTTATGTGATTTGTTTCCTAAAAAGCAAACACCAGAGGGTGCTGTTTTTACGGTCAAAATTATAAGCTCTCCAACTGGCTTTCTTAGCTAGAGATAATTAACAGTTGTGTAACACCTTTTTTTATTAGAAGCCACCTAATCCTAATAAGAAGATGAAAAGTGCTGTTGTCAATCACCTTCAGCTGACAGGTAATGAGTTACAAGCAAAATGTACACAAGTATATTATCCTCTTCACAAATAACCTTAGAACACAGTGAATAACATACGTGAGTCTGAATCTCATGTCCTTAAAGCTGGTGCCCTAATTAGCAGTGATCCTTTGCGTGTTGCAGACTCTGGTCAGGTATCATTGTTACGTGTCCACAATCTTAAGCTTTGTGAAGGTCCAGCACAGAGGTTCACATGAAATATTTCATGAAGAAATACTGTCAGCCCACCTCTTAAGTAAATGGAGCCAGCCCAAATTTGATAGACCTCTATGACCATGGCTGGAATCAAAATGTGCTACTTGTTACAATGCAATTGACACAATCACTCGTTCATCAAGTGGATACTTTTATCTTTGCAAGACGCTGGCAAGGATAGGAGGGATATAACCATTAGCACTTGCTACCAGTTGTGCTTCCTTTGATGTGTATCCTTAGGACACATGTGGATAACTAGGATTCACATCACTTGGCCAGAAACACAACCAATTTGGGGGAAATTAAGCTCAGTGTCAGGGGAAAAACCTCTTCCTCCTTCTACAACCTGACTAGCTTGGAAAACTGACTTACTGGCCAACTGAGGGAGCAGAACATGTGGTTTAGGAATCTTTACCTGGATAGTGAGGAAGCAAGCTCAAAGAGCCTCAATTAGGCCACCTGTAACCATGAAACAACTGCATCTTTTCAAAACAGTGTTTTGATTTGTTTAAGGGAAATATAGGGGTATAGGAATGAAAAGACACAGGAATAGTGAAATGGCTGTAGACAGACACTGTTTCTAAAGAGAGACACCGCTAGCTCCTAAAACGGCTACCAAGGTGCAAGTTTAGCAGAGATGGAGTCGAGGCCAACCGTACATGTCTAGGAAGGGGGGGGCCTTGGTAACAACAACTAATACAGACGGCTTTGATGGAAGCAAAGCAGCACATAAATAAATAAAAGCAGAATGTGTTTGTTTAAAAAAACATTAAATGGGACCACCACAGCATTACAGGATAACAATTTGAAATATAGCAGTTACCTCTTTCTTTCTTAATATCTCCGTTGTAGAACTGATCTCTCCATACATCATCATCACTAACAACTAAACTGTAACAGAAAAAGGAATCGAGCAATTTAGAATGAAGCAGGTTAAAGCTGTTTCAGGGCAGCACGCTAGGAAGCAGATTCACATTTCATTTTTGAAGGTGAAAAAGAGAATGATGAAAACACAAACATTCAAACACTTATCCTAACCATTTCAGAGTAAAGCTACTGGTACAACCACAAATGCAATCACATGGACTGGCTCATTTTTCTGCAAAAATAAACAACAATGTTGGAAAGTGGTAATTTTCAACAGACAAATGGTGGGTGGTGCATAATTTGGGAGGGTGAATGCATATATGTGGAACCCGGGGGGGATGCGGGGGGGCATATTAGCGGAATGAGGGGTTAGGCATTCCTTCCCCCACTACTTCTCTCTTCCCAAAGTTACTTTGTCGTAACAGAAACACTGAAGCTCTACTACAAACATCTGCCTGTAACATGTAGTTCTTATTCTCAACAATATCCCTTCATACTGGGTCACAACCACAAAGGAATGGTAACCATGTTGCTGTCAAGAAAAAAGTAAGGCAAGATACCAAGATATCAACTCCTCCAGTGTACAATCACATGGGGAGGAAGTTGGGAAGAGCCTGGCTAGCCTGAACACCATCTGGGCTGACTCTGTTCCCACCCACCCCTGCAGATACTTAAGCCTGGGTGCGGCCAGAGGCACAAGCCAATGGGCTCTTGGCTTGTGCCTCTGCTACAAAAGCTAAGCCACGATGTGTCTTGTTGGTTGGTCTAGACATTTCTGTAAGCCACTTTGGATCCTTTTGGGGACACAAAGTGGCACAGAAATACCCCAATAAAGAAAGGTCAGCGCACCTGGGTAGAAACAGGCAGCAAGACTTTAGAGGCCTAGCCTCCTGCAACAAGAGTTCTTCCTTTATTCTGAAAGTGCTCCCCTTTTGTTACATGGTGAAGAAATATGGGGAAATGATGAGCCATTAAGCCACTCCACCGCAACAAACTGCACAGCAGCACACGGCACGGCTTTCCCAGGAATGCAGCCAGATGCCTGTTGGGTCCTTGTTCATGGAAAGATTACCAAGCACGTTTGAAAAGAGAAGGCTTGTCAACATGTGACACCACAGCAACCAATGATTTAGTATCACAGCTATCATTTTAGTAGTCCCATAAAAAGGAAGACCTAGTTTCCAACCACTGAGGCAGTGGGACACACAGCACTAGAATACATAAAAGGATAGAATGCGCTCATGGACCGGATCCCGCTTGAGCGGATGCATGATCAGACAGCTCCAGCTCATGAAAGCTTATGCTTCAGTAAACCCGTAAGGCTTTACGGTGCCACAAGAGTCTCGTATGGCTACTCTGCTGGAATTTATAACAAGGTAGGGAGGAAGTCGGGGCTGAGAGGAAACTCACTGTTTCCCCAATATTTTCTTTTTCTTTTTGAATACAAAGTCTGAAATACCCTCAAGTCTGAATTCAAAATAGTGGGCTAAGATCTCACCAAGATTACCATGGATGCAATAGATGGGCCGGGCCGTTTTCACCAATCCCTCCCTCCTACAGCAGCCCAAAATATCCCCTGAAATGCTGTTCCTGGGGGACGGGGTCCCCTCAGTAACAGCTGAGGGGGAATCAGATGTCTCTAATGGGACGAGGGATCAGCCAAAACCACAGTGGAACTTCTCTGGCATACCTTTGTGCATCATGTTAATAAATTAGTTTTGTGCCTACTAAGAAAGATTAGAATGCCAATTTCACCCACTAACATGCATCAAAAGAGTATTAGAGGGTGATCAGTGGATCCACTAACCCATTTTACATGATTTTCACTCTGTGCATTAAAGCCCCAAAGTCCAAATTTGCTAAGGACTGGTTCACATATGCCAGACAGACAGCCATGATACTGTAGAGGATCACATGAAGAGGATCACAGGTTCCTGCAGAGGATCACATGAAGGAAACTCCAAGTGAACAGACTGCACAGAGACACCGTCTAAAGCCACTGGCAGTCCTTTCACAAGCCCTTTCAAATGAAAGGGGTGGCACAACCAAAATAACCAAAAAGGTATGAGAGGTGAATGTCAGTGCAATTTAATCGCACTGAATTAAATTTAAATTTAATCGCTCCAATTTAATTGCCCAATGTAATTTAATTGCCTAGTGCAATTTAGTTGCTCAAATGCTTTCACTGGGGCAACTGCAGATGTCAATAGACAACAGACAAAAAGCGAGAGCGATGTAAGATCCTCCTCTTCACCATTTTATGAGGCGCTCTCAGAAGACAAACATTAGAATACACAATAATGGGTTGGATCCAGACTAAATTTTCCGCTAATGGAAGGGTTGGGATAATTTCCATCCGCTCCCTCTTCCTGCTACTGACGCCTGATTTGCCTCTCATGCTCCTCCTAAGGGGCAGCAGTTTGTGGAGCTCAATGGAGTGCAGTGAGGGGGGGAGGGGCAGGAACCTTCTGACAGAGGGGCCTTGTGCAAGCAGAAATCTAGTCTGGATACAGCCTATATAAAGCAAGAAACTCACATACAACACTAACATCAAGATGACCCCAGGACCCCCCCCAAAAAAAGCCCCCACAGCTCTTTTGGCACTTGAAAAGTCACGGTGGGGGGAATAAAAACACCTCACCCTGTCATGGGCCCTATCAGGATCTTTAAATCATCCATTTTAGGCTTTAAAATGGTGGCGGCATCCCCATGACAAACACTGACCCAGACCATCATGTCAGGCTTGGCCCTAACTTCTTGTACTCTGTTCCAGAAACCCCGGTCTGGCCTACAATTGCCAAAGGAAAAACATTTTTCTCATCTGGAGCTGCTCCGTGACTGGGGTTTCCTGTTGGGAACACAAGCACATAAACCTAATGGAGTGGGTCCATCCACAGGGCTTTCTTGAATAAATTACATGTTCTTTCCCATTCTTCTTGCCAAGACTCAGCAAGAACTTTGTCAATGAACTGTAACGCAGCGGCTTCCCATTGGCAACAATCTAGCTATCAGCTGGGGGGTTTTGAGCGAAACATTTGTGAAAAGAAGTCTGGAAAGCTTTCTAGAATATATCCTCTACACGTGCACGTGCATGCACACGCAAACACACACACAGAGATCACCTGTTAAATGTGAAAGAGCTTCAAAACAGCATGCCAAAACTCAAAAGCCACGAAATCACTTGAAATCTGCAGACCGAATGCAAAAGCTAAACGCTGCATATTGTCTTTGACCTGAACGACATGCGAGAGCAGCAACCCGAGAGGAGCCCAGTGCGGCTAGAAGGTTGCATGCTGACTCAGACAAGTCTTATACTTTCTGCATCAATCATTGAGCTTGAGGCCCCTTTTGCTGATGCAGTTAAAGCCGGTCTCCCAACGGCCACAATCCAGCAAAGCAAATGTTTTCAGACTGATTCCTGGGAGAGTTCCATGGACATCTGGTAGTCATAAAAGGACCACACAAGCAAGGAGAAAGGGCTTTCACTCCACAAGCACACAACGAGCATCCCCCATTGAATCTTAGGCGTTCTATAGACAGCGACACTTCAACAGCAACAAGTTCTCCCATACACACCATAGGTAGGGTAGCACAGTTGCTGTCTGCCATTGTTTTTCAGACAGGATAAAAAATATCCTACAAGCTAAACAACACTATTGTCCGGGGGTCACCACGAACCCGCCACCCCCGGCCTTGTCTTGGGGGCTCACAAAAGCCACAGAGTCCGAGGCGACATCCCCGCTCACCTCCTGAGTCAGGGGTCAGAAGAAGCTGGAGACATCAAGGGCCAGGATGAGACGCACAATCGCCACGGAGAGAAACAGTCAGAGGGCATCACTGACAGAAGAGACCGATCCAGGAGCAGGGGGCAACCGGAGGGTTGAGAGGCGGGAAAGGGGAGAGGGCGTCAGGCCTAGTGTCCTCATTGCCTGTCCTGAGGCATCAGGGCAGGGAAGGGCAGTAGGGGTGGATGGGCTACCCACCTTGCTAGATGGTGGGCCGAGGAGCCTGAGGCAGGCTCTGGAATTAAGATCCAGGCTGGCCCATTGGTCTTCCTCCTATGAGAAGGAGCAGGGATTAGGTCAAGAGGCAGACGCTGGGCTAGGGGCACTGGATTTAAAGGGAAGCAGATCGACCAGCCAGGAAGGAAAAGCCTGCAACTCTATTCATGCCCATAGGAGCCAGAGAGAAAGATCTAAAAAGAGTCCAGGAGTGAGAAAGGAGGAACTGGGTGATTTCAAACCCCCTCTCCTCACAGTATTCTGAGGCTGTGTCAGCTGTTTCTCAAAAGAAATCAAGCCCTGGAGCAATCCATCCCTCCTCCCTTGGTCCTAGAGAAGCTGGGGCCTGACAACTATGTTCACAAAACTGCCTGGCAACTAATGAATGTGGGGAAGGAAGTGTGTTGTTCTGGTAGAAATTATGTCTAGAAGTTGCATCCTGTACATCAGGTGCACTCTGCAACACTTACCATCATCATATAGTCCCAAGGACTGAGTGGTAGATATAATGAATTTTCCCAGGTACAAAATGCACTTTGATCTCCTGGCTAGCCACAAAACAAAAATACAACAGGGCAGGGGTCATTTCGTAGAAAAAGAGCTAGGGGAACTCATTAGCATAACTCATTAGCATATACCACACCCCCTGACATCAGGGGCTCGGCGGTGGACCTGCAAGGCCGGCGGGAGTGCGAGGAAGCCCCGCCAAGGCCCTCCCTGGCCCCAGGCAGGCAGGGGTGGGGAGAGGCGGGGAGGAAGCAACTTACCCTCCCTCTTCTCCTGCCTCCTCCTGGCTGAATGAGGGCTGGAAGCGGGGCGGCCGGAAGCAGGGGGCGGGGCTTCATCGTGTGCCCCGCCCCCCTGCACCTCACCCGGGGGAACTGTGTTCCCCCCGCGATCCCCCCCGAAATGACCTTTGCTTCAGGGATGATTATGAATTGCACGCTGTTATGAAATCTCCTTCCTAACAACCAGTTGCTCACCTTCCCAGTCATCTTAGTTTTGCATCTCACTGTGTTAGGAGTCCAATCCAATTGCACACATTGCCTTTTGCGCTTGGGTAGACTTACTCACTGCCACCATTAGAAGACCCTTACCAGTTTTGGGTTTTATCAATACTAAACTAATCTCACTATACCATGGGAGTGGTCGTAATGCTGATGCAGGCTGTTCCTAGACAGCCTGTTTATCTCCCTATTAGACCATCAAATCCAGTGTGCTTGCATGTGCAACGGAGACAAGGCTTGGATTTTTCCCTTCTGCCCTCTCTCTGCAGTCCTTTCAGCGGCTTTTAGAAAAGTTAAATTCAATTCTCCAAGTGTTCTCTCTTCCAGAACAGACATCAGATTTTTAAAACATTGACTAAACATATATGCTAAAGACACAGATATTTGGGGACAAACCAGAGACAGGTGGAATAATACAGAACACTAGGAGAACAACAGCAAATCAGTTGCTAGCTACATCTAGTTACAATGTGTAAGCACCTCTTCCCCCTCCCACACAGACAAGGCACATTTGTGAAGCCCTGGCAAAACCCTGGTTAAATCCCTTAATAAAGTCTGAACAAAGAATGGCAATGGGTTGCACTCCTAAAACCCTGGAGTTTGGGAGTTCCCTTCCTGGGCCAGTCAGAACTTGAGGTACAAACTCAGAGTTCCTTCCAAGGCAGCTTTTGTCCAATGCAAGATTTGTGTGCATCAAGGGGTGATAGATCAGAATACTTTACTGGAGGCAGTGACAGGGTGACCAAATGGTGGTACCAGTGTGCTGAGTCCACTCCTTCTGTCCCCGTATTGATCAGCAAAGAAATGCCATCTTCCTCTCACAGAATGAAGCTGTGGGGTTTTATGCCCAATGAAAACCAGATAAGCCTGCTATAACAGTTCCTCACTTCCATTTCTCTCTCCCTTTTGGTTGAGCAGACCCCTTTCTTCGTCTTCTTTTTGTCTGTCCCACCCAGTTGTTTAAATGAGTACAGATACTTACTGACCCAGCCTAGGATGCTGAGGAACAGTAGAATCCTTCGTTTGTATATATCAGATTATGGCAGAAGAAAGGCTGATAGTAATTCAAAATAAACTGCTTTATTTATCGGGAAACGGTCAGGTTGGTATCAGGTTTGGAACTTGCCAGATGAACAGGCAACAGGGATGAGATAACTTTGTATAATTATACACAATATATAGTTTGTCACAGTCAAGTAGCTGTTTTGTTACACAGAAAGGTCTTTTAAAACTGTAGATAGAGATCGCTTGGCAGTCACTGCTTAAATGAACAGGAATAAGCTTCTTTGTCTCAAAATTACTTAAGGCTGTGAAGGTTGGAATACACACACAAGTTCTGAAACTCCTGTTTGGAATCACCCCCTTTTACTAGGAGCTATTTCCCTCAGGCTAGGACTACTGGTCCCACTTTCATAATTCAGGATCCTTTCTCAATCCTTCACTCTTCTTAACTAAACTCAACTGTTCTAACTGCTGCTCTCAACTGTCACTCTTAACTGCAGAAATCCATTTGAATCCACGGTCACTCAAGGTTCTCAGACTGGATTAATACATTAACCATTCGCTGTCTGTTACACCTGCTTTACCCTAAAATCATATGAATCCACCCAAAACATACAGTATAAATGGAAAACGGACTTATGTGTGGCCTCAGTGCCTGGCTGGGTAAGAGAATGAGCTCAGACAGCTTGGGGGAGGCATTTGTTGTCAACAGAGGCAGGAAAGATTTAAGTACTCCACTTCTACTGGCTGATGTTTCCCTGCAAAATCCCCCTCACCTCTAAATTAGAGTTACTAGACCAGCACATTAGATCCATTTCTGTAAAAAGAAAATGAATGTGGAGAAAGTACCTAGCTGCTCTGCTTGTAGGAATTCCAAGATGGTGCATGGCCTCACTGCCCAAAAATTCTCGTACAGAGGAACGAAGCACAGCTCTTCCATCCCCATTTCTATGGAAAAGAAAACAAGGAATATGCTTTGTCCTTCTTAACAGAAATAGACAAAGAATACAAACTGGGTTGACAGGGAATTCTGTTATAAGCATATGTATTGAAGGCCCTGAAAAAAAAGTCATGCACAATTTTGTGATCCCTCAGGTGGTGCACAGCATGGGTGAAAGTGTTCTCTTCTTGCTACTTCTAGCTGAACGCTATCACATGACTTACAACCCACCAACTGGTAATAACAACATGATTTACTTCCAACAAATGTTAATCAGAGATTAACTATTTCCTAACTATTAACCATTCCTAACTATTGTGGTTACCATTAATGCTCTGAAAAAGCCATTTATATTAGTATGCGTTAGAAAATCTGATAACATTCACCATATGACTCAAGAAAATGAGCCACTTGCTTATTGGGGCAGGCATAAATTAAAAAGAGGGAGGAAGACATGTTAGTCATCTCTGCTGCAGGGGTTATTCAAATTAAAGCTTCTGTTCTGCAATGGGGACGATTCCCAGACTGTGTCCCTTGGTTTTTAATTGTATACCGGATTTAACCTTGCTGAACACTCATGATGTCTGTGTCCTTGCAGATTTTGCTGTTTTGTTAGCCACTGTGACTTTGCAGAGAGAAGGCAGGGTCTAGAGGTTTTGAATAAATAAATAAGAGCCATCAGGTGTGGCTACCAAAGAAGACACAAGAGACACAAGAGACACAACAAACCTGGAGTATGGTGTCCTTCCTGAACCTTTCAGCTGTAGCTCCCATTTGTCACCAAACCTGCAAATAAAATAACAACAAAAAACAGTATTAGCAGTCATTTTGATAACTGGTACAGCCCGGCAGCTAAGAGATTGAGCTGGGAGTGCCTAGTTCCCATCAACCTTAGTCAAACCACCATTTCAAAAACTCATACCCACTTCGCACTCCCAGAACTGCCATATAGAGAAATAGCACCATGCAGGATTCCAATTAAAGATTTCTAAATTCACAGTCATAAACGTCAGGCTGGCTGAAGCAACGTTAACGCAGATGTGCTGCTTTACATTCACACAGCACATTGTCTAAAACAGGTTGCACCCTGCACAAAGCAGCAACACGTGACTCACGGTGGCTTTGCACAGATAGTGGTACACTTTAAACGAGATGCTGCAAAATAGCGGGTGAGTTATTCTGCACTGCTGGCATTGTGTTTAAATCAGGCCTGAAGACAAGGTACTTGAACTGCTGGGAAAACCTGAAAAGTGCTTACATTTTTATTATTTATTAACTTATCTGTGACAGTGATAGCTCATTTAGAAACTAGCTGACCATTTAAAATGAAATAATGCAGTACCTGTTTGTATAAACTCCAATCAAGTGAGCTCTTCCATCACCCAATTGACCTGCCCAGCTACCGAACTAAAAAAGAGAGAGTAAAAATCAAAATGCACAAATTATCATCTTCTGTTATTTACAGTACATGTGGAACTGGAAAATTATTCCTAAAATTGGTGAAGGTAGGGATGTGATGTGTACCTGTGTTGGGGAGGGGGGGGAATGTGATGCATTTATCAGAAACCAATTCACCGATGTATCAAAGGTATGTGGACAGTAACATCCCACTGTATGGATAACCAAAATAAACCAATAATAAGGGGGAACAAGCCCCATGAAATAACTGGCAGACAGAAAGGGAGACAGAGATTGGGGAGACATTAGAGACAATATATAAACATGAAAAAACCTCCTACTTTCATCACTATATCTTTAGTGTCAGAATTTTTAACAGACTTTTTACTGCCTCTGTGGAACAGTAAGAGCTAGAAACTTGCTATTTTAAAAATGATTGCTAGCTTTCTTAAGAATGCAATTCACTGGATGTCCTGCATAACATGTCCTTTTTTTTTAATCCCTGGAGGAATATTTTTTATTTTGCAAAACTACAAAAACTATAAAGAAATAATAGGGAAGGGACTACATCTAAGGAGAAAGAAAAGCAAACTACACTAATCTAAAACCCCAAGAGGAGGAGATCTTTTCACTGTTAGTTAAAATGTTAGTACTATTAGAGTTAATGTCACAATATACTTGTAGAGTTCTTACTTATAACAGTTCGCTATTTATATGTTATTTTGTTAGATGTTATGAGAGAAATCTTTGATCATCTTATTCTTCGCTTCATGTCCTAAACCAGCAACCTTTACCATATGGAAATAGAACTGCATTTTTACTTTTTCTTATCACTCAAACCACTGCAAAATCTATATACATTATATAGTATATACTATACTATATTTCTTATCACTCAAACCAGGCCAAAATCTATATACTTTTAGCCAAATGTGGCCACAATCTGCAGATAACTTAATCTGCAGATTGGGGCCACACGGAGGCTAAAGGGATTTCTCTGCACACTTGGGGAACATTGAAAGCACTGATTTTCTTATTCTTATATCAAACAGGTGAGTGACCGGTGCAAAGGACAGAAGGGAGTTGTGTATGAGACAGTTCCACCAATCTTTTAAAAATCTACTAGTAATGAACTATATTAGAAAGCTAGCCATTCTGAGTTCACTTTTCTAAAACTGCAACATAAAAATATTAAATTTTCTATTCTTTCTCATTTCCAGAAGAAAATCCTGTTACATAGAAATACTGCTAACATAATATGAGCAAATATTTACCTGATGGCCACCATACCTATGGGCCAGAGGCAGAGACCCCAAGACAATTTTCCCACCACTGACAAGTTGAAGAAAATCCTCTGTGTCTGAGACAGACACATCAAGATCCAAAATGTCTTCTAGAACCTCCTGGACAGCACAGAAATGACAAAGAAAAATTCAGAAGTTCCACACAGCTCTTTGTTGGCCATATAACCTGCATTCATAAAATTTTGCTGACTTCAGAAGCCGTGAAAGTGGTCTGCATATCCTTTTGCCTGCCTTACTACAGCCACCACCTGTTTCCCCTTCTTCTCCCTACCCCACAGCACAAAATACATTTTTCAGTATAATGCAATACAAAGATTGCCTGGATCTGTTATTCACTTCTATGGACATTTAGTGATTGATGAACTCCCACATTCCTACGGAAAAAGGGATCTGGAAAATAACTACCAGGGGAATCAAGACAGCCCTGGAAAAGGGCCATGCCCCATTTGATGGAGGGAGGGAGACCTTGCTGGACAAAAGGAGCTGCCATGCTCTTTGCCAGTGAACCTAGGTGTCACACCCCTCCTTTCTGGCCCCAGTGGGTCCAGACCAGGAGGTAGAAGTCAGGAAGCTCAACCTGCTGCCCCCTGGGACCTAACCTCCTGCCTGCTTGGCCAGCCTGCAGACAATGGGAATTGGGATCACTGTACAGCTAAGAGTCAGGAATAAAGAAAAATCAAATCTAACCTTTGAAACAGCTACAAGGAGAACTCTGGATTTAAAAGGAATAGGATAGACAACTGAGAAAATGGAGTCTTGCACTTCACGAATGTAATTCTTTTCAATTGGATCAATAGGTAGTGTCGCTAAAGAGAACAAGGGGAAAAAATTAACTTAAAATAATACATTAATGAAGCCATTGTATGAACAATATTCATATTGCTTTTAGAGTCAGGATACAACTAAAATTGAACAATGACTGAGACGATATCGCACAACAAAGAACTTGCTATCAAATAGTCTTGGAGCAGCTTGTGTGAATGAGTCACCGAGGCTGAATGGATGTGAACCAGATCAGAAACCTGGATGTGAGATCTCTGGGAGTGCCATGAAAGAGGGCGATGATGAAAGATAGTAAACATCATATATCTAATGCTGAACCTCTCCCCACTGTATGGATAAAAGAAAAAAACATGCCAAGAATGAGGCCAGGTAAAGATAGGGGACATTTTTCTTTTTAAAGTAAGTTTTATTAAAGTTTTAGAATATACAAAGATGGGAAACAGGGAAAGGGCAGGGGAAGGAACAAAAATAATAAGACTTCTGCATATAACTTTTCTCTACTTATTTCATATTATACGAAGATAGACCGTGAGGTTTTTAAAGTTCATAAAAGCTTCTTGATGTTATAATATTAAGGAGTTCATATCTTTATATTTCTCTGTTATCCAGTTATAAAATGGAGTCCATAGTCCAACAAAATCTTCTTCCATTTGCTCTTTTAACATTGAAGTCAATTTGTCCATTTCCGCACTTTCCATAATTCTCATTATTAGGTCATGTTCAGAAGGTATTGATAGTAGTTTCCCGTAGGATGCAAATATGATTCTAACTGTAGTTACTACATGAATTATAAAATATCTTTGGTTTTTATCAAAGTCATCTGGTATATAATTCAATAAAAACAATTCTGGTTGAAAAGGTATTGAAATATGCAAAACTGTCTGTATAAAAATATGTACCATAATCCAGAATTTAAACACTATATCACATGTCCACTGCATATGGTAGAATGAACCCACAGGTTTTTTGTACTTCCAGCAACTATTCAACATATTTTTGTACATTTTAGCTAGTCTGTCTGGTGTTAGATACCATCTGTAAAACATCTTATACAGATTCTCTTTAAATGCCACTGATTTAGTTATTTTCACATTCACTTTCCAGTTTACTCCACTGTGCAAGATCAATATTATAACCTAGATTTTGCATCCATTTCACCATACAAGTTTTAACCGCTTCATCTTCCATTTTCATTTGCATTAAAAATACATATACTTTCTTGATCAACTTATCATTGAATGTACATAACTTTTCAAATGCACATTGTTCAGAATAAAAACCAAATGTCTATCTTTAACATATCTAGATTCAATTTGAGCCCTTGCCACAAATCCAGACTGACCTCTTGCCTTATTAATTCTTTCTTTGTTTTTATAAATCTTTTATCATCTAAAAGATTTTCATATCTAAGAATTTTATCTAATGAAATTAAACTTGGTTGTGAAAAGGCTTCAGGGGGTGAGATCAATCTTGGAGTTTTAGAGTATACCAAAGGTAGGATTTCCCCCCAAGTTGTTAATAGGGATTTTCTTATCAAATGATTTTTAAAATATTTATGTCCATTTCCCATACCAAACAAAAGCATGCCACCTAGATAGGGGGTATTTTTCCAACAGAAGTGGTTTACACATAAACTGTGATCTCATGACTCTCTGCCAAGATTTCATGACTCTATATCATGGGGGGGGGGGGAAGCTGCTGCCAACCCCACCACCCATCATAGGAGAACAGGTGCTTCAGCCAAGCAAGCAGGGAGGAGATTTAGGGCAAGCGAGGATGACCAAAAGCCACCACTGCTGCACAGGCAAGTTTGCTGATAGAGAAGAGAGGAGAAGGTAGAGCAGGAGCCGCTGCTGTCTCTCTGCCACAAAGCAGGCCCTGGAAATGGCCAGGCAGTCATGCTAGAGAAGGATGGGATTCTACCCCATGAGTCTTATAAGTCCTGTGATAGAAGAGCAAAGGTCCGGCTCCTTTGTGTAAGTCACCAGTCCCCTGTATGCCTGTGTGTGAAGAGCAGCTAACAGCCAATCATGGCCCATGGATGGCTGAGGAAGCCAGGCAGGGAGAGGAGTGAGAGAAAAATGTGTAACACTGTCTGCTAGGTTCAGATAGCGAGGCCAGAGGGAGTCTGTAAGCAGGCTAAAACAGTGAATGTTTGAAGACAGGGTTTGTGCTTACATAGGGTAGAGGCTGAGAATCCTTTTTCAGGAGAGTTTGGATGTTTTAGTCTGGGTTTTATGAAAAAGCAGGCCAGCACAGTGACTGCTTTAGTAACAGTCTATTGCAGTCTCAGGGTCCAGTTTCTGAGGGAAACTGACTAAAGATTTGTGGCTTTGGGGAGGAGCTTATATTTACACTGGGTGAATCCTGAGGTTGAGAGAAGGCCAATATTCACCTCAAAAATAAAAGCTTGGCTGTTCACTGTCTTGTGCATCCAACGGTTAACAGCTGAAACGCTATAAAACCATCAGCCCAACAAAACCAGACCTTCACATTCCCCCACTGCCTATCTGTAAAAAGAAAATATTTAAGGCTACAGAAATATCTCATGTTAACAATGAAAACCCACAGTTTTTCAGCTCAACAGATGCCAGGACTGGGGCAACCAACAGCAGAAAATTACTCCAGCTTAAGCCCATTGAAATCAGAGATAAAGCACTATTAATGTCTCCAGCACTGTCATGCTACTCAAATAAAATCAGAGCCGCAGGCCCCAATTCAGGGAAAGTCACTCATGCTTACATCCCTTTGATATCAATACAAAAAGTCAGCCATATCTACCTTAAGTCCCATTGATTTAAATGGGCTTAGGCACTGTGAACTTTGGCTTGGTTAGTGCTGTTATATAAGTGCACGTATACTCAGCATGCATACTCAGATGTAAATCTCATTAAATTCTGTGGGATTTATCCCTAGAAAGGTTGTTTGGGATTTCAGCCATATTCAGATAAACTGCCCTTTACATGCACATCTTCTCATAACTGTATATTGGCATGAATTCATAACTGTATATTGGCATGAAACAGTACCTGTGAATTTTTCTGAGGAGAGTCTCCATCCACCAAAACTAGAGAGTTTTCGTTTTCTTTCACAGTAGCCTTGATCCAGGTTTGACTTATTGATGTAGTGATGCACATGCCTAAAACTACTTGCCACAATTAGAGAGTCCAGGAAGCAGCATCCTGATTGACACAGCAACATCAGCCAAGTAAGCAACCATGGAGTGAGAGAACACCTGGACATAATGAGTCCTAGAACTTTTCATAACCAAGTGTTGAGCCTGTATGGAAACAAAAGAAAGAGACAATGAGACCAGGATTCTAGCTGTGTATCCTCCATTTGCAGCAAAATCATTCTTTAATGCTTTCACTTTCACTCCAAGTTCCTCCCGTTAGCTACACCCATCTATAAATTTTGGATGCTAATAAACCAGCTGCAAAATTCTCATCAAAACACCCTTGGAAATTATTTTATGGAAATTGGTTAGGTCAAGGTTCTCCAGCATACTGACCATGGCCACCATGGTGCCCACCAACACTTTTCCTGTTTCTAGAAAGTGGGTGGGGCCAGGTGGGGCTTTTGTCCAGTAGGGCTTTTGATTGGCTGTGCAGATATTGAATATTGAAGAGTTACTAGGAGAGTTATGCATAAACTCACTCCCTGACATTTTGTTGCTGGCTCCACCTCCTGCTGCAGCTATTTTGTGATTGTGCCCACCACCCTGTCAATGCTCCCTCTAAGCTGTGGAGGCTTGTGAGCAAAAATTCTACTTTGTGAGCTACTGGCACTGAAGTTGTGAGTGAGCGATTTGGCTACTACATAAATTAGTTTGCTCTGCAGCCATCCTTCCTGAGCTAAGACAAAAAATATGTGAGCTGGAGGCTAAAAAACATTGAGCTAGCTCACACTAACTTAGAGGGAACAGTACACCCTTTGTCAGAATTCCGAATATGACCACAGGCTCAAAAAGCTGAGGACCCCTGGGTTAGATCAACAAAGAATGTGATTTTAAAAATGGCTTAAAAAGCATACATTTAACAAATTATATAAAGGAATAATCCATCAGGTACTCTTGTTCAAATCACCATTTCTACCTTAGGATTCACAACTAATGCAAGTAATGAAGATATATGACTAAGATTTTATCTTTGCTCAGCTGCCTTTGATGGGAAAATATAACGGACAGCCACTGTATTCTGATAAGGCCACAATTTTTTTAAAAAACGCACCCCCTTTTACATTCATGAATGTGAGTACCCGACTTGATATTTTTATATATCTGTACTATTTTTATTTGTACAAACAGAAAACTTAAAGGTTATAAAGCAGTGGCTTTCTCCCATCTTCTCAGTGCAGGGAACAATGATCGCATTGCACTTGATACAGAATATGCAGCTGCTGGTGTACACCAAGTCTGTATTTAGTGGCAGCTTCCAGTTATCTGATAGGTTAAACCCTCAGGCTTCTTGCTTTGTGTTATAAACAGCCCAATCCTAGGCATGACTGAGCCAAGTTTAAACCTGATGCTAAAGAGCAAAAACAATTTATACACGCTATATTCCATGTTCCCAGCATCTTGCTAAAACTATGCTAACTGCTATGCTAATGATTTTAGCACTCCAGAGATACATAGTCTATCTCAGTAGTTTTCAACAATGGTTCGGGACCTTAAGATGAGTCACAAGCCCAAACTGAGCCAGCTCCTGCCTTTTAGAAGGACCAATGGCTGATACACATACATAAAACACCAAGGGCCTCATGACTCCTATCTCTTTTTCCCGCTCATAGAAACAGCAGTACATGAGGCCACTCACTGGTGAAGAAAATTCCTTCACAGCTCCATTCCTTGCTTATTTCCTCACCATGCTATACTCCTTGGTGCTAGGTTCACATTTTCAGTCCCCCCAGTTCTCTTGATCTGCCGACCCAAGGGCAGTGTTCCCTCTAAGCTGAGTTCGTGTGAGCTAGCTCACAGTTTTTTAGCCTCCGGCTCACACATTTTTGTCTTAGCTCAGGAAGGATGTCTCCAGAGCAAACTAATTTATGCAGCTGGCAAATCACTCGCTCACAAATTTAATGCCAGCTGCTCACAAAGTAGAATTTTTGCTCACAAGCCTCCACAGCTTAGAGGAAGCATTGCCCAGGGGTGTCAAACATGCGGCCCAGGGGCCAGATCAGGCCCCCAGAGGGCTTCTATCAGGCCCACAAGGGACTGGCTGTCTCCTGCTTCTTCCTCTAGTTCCGTTGCTGCTGCTGCTGCATCATAGCTTGCTTTCCCAGACTCTGTCAGTCACTCAGGAGAGATAGATAGGCAAGATTCTGTTCACTGCACTGGGCTGAGGCTCCTACCCCTCCCCGGGGGAGGGAGAGAACGAGCCAGAGCTTGCTGCCTCAATCACACAGGAGACAAAGGCAACCTTTCTTCTCCTCCTTTGGCTGAGGCTCCTCCTGCGAGGGAGG